AAACACGGTGGTGTTGGTTAGGTGTGCTGGTAGTTCATGGCTGCATTTCCCAAAAGCATTATCACCAATAGTCTCTACGATCTACTTAAATGCTTTTGAGAAACACAGCCTAGATCTTTTGGTATGCTAAACTATGAATTATGTCTCAGTTTTGTGATCAAATTCCACCTATAAAAAAGGGACCACAATACAGCTGTTAATTATATTAATTATATAATAAATTGATGCTGAAGAGTTCAAGATGTTCTTTCTCATTCCTTGCGTAATGTGGATTTAATTTGTTTCGATTTTTCTGTTTTAATAAACTGGAAAAAATGCAATTGGTTGGACTGATTTATTGTAACTGAGCCCAGCTAACAAAAGTTTTGATGTTAAAATTTTAATTATCACATTTAATGGTTTTCTATTTTATTTGCAGAGGTGTAAAGAGTACCTGAAAACCATACTTGAATAAAAGTACAAGTACCTTACAGTGAAAATTACCCCACTACAAGTTACAAGTCACCAATTTCAAAACAACTTGAGTAAAAGTCTTAGAGTATCTGATTTTAACAGTACTTAAGTATTTTACTTGTACTGAATATAGGCTCAAAGATGCACCAGTCAAAGAGACATGCCAGTGAAAAACAAGAAAGAGTTCATTTGTGAGAAAAGCAAACACTATTTTATAAAACCAAAATAAAACGGAATACCTCAAAAATTGCAAAAAATAAATAAATTAATTAAATAAACTATCCTTCAAAAAGTATTATTTTTTTTGCTTAATTTGTTTATTGAACTTTTACAATAATAACAGGATGAGAATACAGGAGAATAGTGAAAAAATACTGTTAGGTAAAATTAAAAAGTCAAAGCCTTCTTGCACTGGATGAGCTGGTTTCAGCCTCATTCCCGTTGCTAAGGAACTCACATTCATGTCAAGTAGCCTTGTTGACAAGTTTGGGTGAGTAAGGGCAAAACACACAAGATATTGTACTTTCAGTGCCCTGTAGTTGGCGATATCACTTCTTTTGTAGCAGAAATAAACTGCTGCAGAAAAAGCTAGATGCAATGGAAAATGTCATGTGTAATTGTAACACTCATTACAAATGTAGTGAAGTAAAGAGTACAGATGCTTATTCAACAATGTAGTGAAGTAGAGAGTAAAAGTTGCTAATATCTTTGATAGTAAAACTCCAAAAAGATACTCAAGTATAGTAATTAATTTCATTTACTTAAATACTTTACACCACTGTTTATTTGCAATTACATTTCCATTGGAAAGTGAAAGTGAGTTATATTTTCAGTTCTAACAATAAACTCGTTCAAAAACGGAGCAAAATATTTGTGATAGTGAGAGACCAAAGTAATTGAAAAACATTTATGGCTCATATAGCCTTTATTTGTGCCACCTTTAATCAAACTAAAAACTGTATTTTTCAAATAAATTAATGTCAATATAATTTTATCTACTGATATGAGGATTGGATGAAGTAGATCACTCATCTTTTGAGTGATGTGGGTGCAATATTGATGAAGTGGCTTTCTAATGACCTGAATTAGCTACAAATGATTATTGGTCATTGCCTTGGGGACTGGATTGTAGGCCTAGCCAGAAGCTGGAACTGAAAGTTGTTTGGGGTTGTATGTTGGGACCTATAAATTATGAGAAGATGGACAGCGCAATTGCTTAGTGTGAAAACTTTCAATTTGGGACATTAATAAATGTTTAGTCTTGGTAAATGCATAAAACGTTACCTTGTCGGAGTGTTAACTGAACTGGGTGTCCCTTTAAGATAAAAAGAGAACATAAGCATAAGCACAATGAGGCTGAACAGTAGAGTATCCACCTTGAAACCATCATTACTTTATGCACTCAAATAAAGATATCTGAAAGATATGATTAACAGTGTCAGTATTACATCACTTACTGAAACTTTGTTCATGTACTGAACTCACGCTAGACATAGAGATGGATAACCCTGGGGGTGTCTAGAGCAGATTAGACATAAAGCACAGTCACATGAGGATTGCTTAATTCCATATGACTTGAAAACTGACTATATTAAACTAAACAAACTATAAACTAGGATGTAATAGAGATGCTAACTCACTGTCATGCCGAGTCTGGAATGTCTAAACCTCTCCAAAGTGTCACCCGAACTTGCACAACAACCAGAATTTCATTGTATTATTTGGAGGAAAGTAAATCTACTATATAAAAATAAATGACATGATAAAATGCAAGCTACCTGACAGCTCTTGAGCGAGGTGTGACTGCGGAAATGCAATTGGAAATGAAATGCGATGAGAACAATATATTTAAAGCTTTACAGTGTTTCAATCTAGGAGATGAAGCTTCTGTTTTAAGCTATGAAATTGCTACCTGGTGATGTGACAGCCACAGGAAGAATCATCCTTGGAGTTCCTCTATATATGGAAAGAATATATTTTAAATGTACATTATATTATATTATGACACATTTATGCACATAAAGACAAATATTTGTATTTACCCATTAATTGGAAACCTCCCAGGAGATGTCTGTGGAGGGAAGAAAAACTATAACATCCAAAGAGAACGGAAGTTAGAAGGGAAGCGTGAGACATGCAATAAGAAACTCTCACCCTCCTCTGAGAAAGCGGCTTCTTTAGTTCTTCGTTCTCTTGTTTCAGCTCACACACTTGCCTTAAATAAAACACAAGTAACTAAACAGTCAAGTGCCACTGAATATATACGTATCTTAGATCTAAGCCATAAATGACCACCTGTAGCACTGATCACGGACTTCTTTCACCTTTCGTTCCAGTTCCACAGACCTGCTTCTTAAGAATGCGATGACTCGCTCCTTCTGCCTTTTCTGAAAAATAGCGATCTGAAACAAATGCATCTTCCTAAGTTATAAATGGCAGAATTGTGTTTGCTTAGGACTTGATGTCACTCTGACATGATGATTTCATGTTACAGAGTTCACAGCAAATGTTTGTTTTTTTGGGCCTTTTTAGATTAAATCAATTATAAAGGAATTGGGACAAATAAAATGTATTTGTTAAAGCAGAAAATGACCTGGGCAATATGTTCCAGTCGAGTCTGAATGAGTTTCACTGGATCTTTGAAAAACATCTTTTCCTGTGGCTTCATCTTCAAAAAAAAAAGGAACATGTAAGGAAACATATGGTTGTTTAAATGTTGGTATAGGCATAGGTGAGGTTGGTATAGGTAACCAAAGTTAATAATTTGTTTCTAATTAAGAATAATGCATGTAACCATAGCAACAAATAATATAAAATAAATTAATATAAATTAATAATATTAAATATTAAATAAATTAATATTAGTATTGCACTGTTTTAACAACTCAGTCTGCTTTTATCTCCTCTTTAGTCAAACAATTTGAAAACAAAATCTGAACATTACTGCTATTTTCTGCAATATTTCATTACAGAAATTATTCAAAAGGTTGACAAAAATAATTCTTAGCATGTAGGCCTACCTGTTTTTTTTGTTTGTTTTTTTACAGATAACTAGTTGTCAAACTGTTGTTCATACAACACACATCAACTGAACTTGTTCTCAAAATTAAATTGTGATTTGAAATTTTCATGACCTTAATCTCTCATAGGTAAACTGTGTATGAACAGAACCATATTTAGCACTCCAAACAAGCCCACTTCCAGTGTATGCTGTTTAACACTGTAAAGCTTTTTTGACACAATCTGGGGCCGGCTGCATAAACTGCTTAGACTAGTCTTAAAACGTTAGTCATGTAATTTCTTTTCTACTAAACTGTTAATAACTTTTTAAAATCTATTCCAAAAAGGTTGACTGCTGTAATTTGAATTGAAAAGTAAGACTGGTTACCTCTTGGCTAACTGCTAGTTGGTCAAACAAGTTCTTAACATAGTGACTAGTTTATGCAACTGGCCCCTGTATTGTATAAAGCACCACATAAATAAAGAAGACTTGACTTGACTTGTGCAACAGGACCCTCAGGGTAAAGCTGGAAAGTTGGGGGGTGGGTACGTATGAGCATAGTTTCCAAGGTGGGCCAGACCCACCCAGGCCCCCCCTGTGGAGCAAGGCCTTCTAAAAAACAATATTCTGTGTGAATGTTGCTGAGATAATCTGGTTTCTCAGTGCGGGTTGGACTTACCTGATCAGATACGTGAAGGTAGTTGCAGTTGGCATGACAAATGTCGCACTGACCTTTAGGAGGATATTACACTTAGTGATTCACAGTATCCTCGAAAATGAAATAAAAATAAAATACAATAAAAACCACTCAAAATAGAGAGAGAAAAAAAATGAGCGTATTGCGTTACGTTACTCACTTGCATTTATGCAGTTCTCACAAAATATATGGCCACAACTGGACACTACGAACTTTTTCCCTTCCCTCACATAACAATTGTTACAGTGAAACCAGTTCATTTCACTTCTATGAAAGAGGCCACCTAAAAAAAAACTAACGTTAAAATTAATATTAAAGGATGATGATACCATTAAGAGATGTAACGTTATGCTGCAATAACACGTTTTTTTGCTAATCTTGCAATGCTAGCAAACTGTGGACTGCGGTAAAATACTTGTTTGTCACAGTATAAACGATTTACTTTTACGAATGTTATGTTTATCTGAATAATTTACCTTCAGCTGTTAAGAGTAATTTAGCAAATCTCTCTCAACTTGTCCTCGAGTCGAGTGAGCGAACCGTTGGAGAATTCCTGAAGTAAACGGTTTTGGCGCCATCTCTTGGGCAGTGTAGTAAAGTTAGAAAACGTGGTTTTACGTGTCTTTGCTATAGTGAGTGTGAAGGCACAAAATAACTTGCCAAATTCATACTCTATGCTTTTGTCCATCACAACTGCTGGATCACCATCAAGTGTGCTCATTTGTTTCCAGAAGTTGGAAGGAAAAAAGTATCAATTTCAGAATATTTTTAGTAGCAGGTATTTTTTTCTGTCCCAGGCATTGTTTCATACTAAAAACAAAATGGTTCTGGGGCAGTTAATAAGTGTTAAAAAAAAAACACACACACATTTAACATATGTAATAACGAACAACATCCACTTTTATAATGGTTTATTTCTCTCAAGAAACGCAGCAGTTGAACAGGAACAGGTAGAGCTCAACCCTTAGGATGTCCAAAGCAACTCCCGTGGCTTTGAGGCAATCTTTGGAAGTAATTAAACACAGAATAGATGTCAGATAAGCGAAATTAAAAAAATAAAAATAAAAAAATACAACAGCAATATAAGACAGCAAACCTTGTCAAATCCAAGGTATGACCCAGTCCTCAGTTTTCAATAATAACCAGACGCCCAATAACAGAATTTAAAGCTGAGGAATCTGTAGATCATGCAGTCAAGTCAGTTCATGCCCAGTAGTAAAACTCAATACTTAATGATTCTTTTCACACTTGTGAAATAGTGGCTAAATATTTAATCTTCACTTTATGGCAAAGTAACGTATGGTAAGCAATAATACAGTGAACAGTGACCTGCTGTTATTCCTCGTTTCTTTCTTCCTTGACAGTTAGTGTCACAGCAGCTGCAGAGAGAATTCTGGGATGGATCATCAATCAGCACCCAACTGCAAAAAGAGAAAGAGCCTATTCATGAGTTCTACAAGAGGCCTTCAATTTTAAATTATCATACCGTGAGCTGATCTGGTCATATTGACAAGCTTTCTTGCCACCATCCAGGTCACTTGGGTCCCATGCCACAAGCCTGCAGTGCAGGTAGACCTGGGGATGATGCAAAAAAATTCAAACGAAAGAAAGAACGAACGAACGAACGAACGAACGAACGAAAGAAAGAACGAAAGAACTTGCATCTTCTCCAATGGCAAACTTGAAAGCTTGAAGACTTAGCCTGATCTCTGACAATTGCTTTCTTGGCAGAAACCTTGAGTTTGTATTTTTGCTGTCTACAAGACACCTTAAAGCAAAAAAAAAAAAAAAAAAAAAAAAAAAAAAAAAAAAAAAAAAAAAAAAAAAAAAAAAAAAAAAAAAAAAAAAATTCATCAAGACGAAGAATTGTACTACTCACTCCACTGCTGTGGAACATGAAAATGTTTTTGGCTCCAGAAAGACCACATCTCGTTTTCACACATACCCATTATTGGTAATGAGTGGGTAAACATGAGAATCTGGACCCAGTTCTGGTGTTGTGGATGCCAGACCCTCATCCAGCAGCAGTATTAATGGCTGATGGTTCTGCTGGGCAACTGAGGCAGCAATTGGGATTGTTGAGCCTAGTGAGAATGTCGTGGTAGTGGCCACACCACTAAAGTCATCTACAAAGAGAAAGTTATTAGACCATTTTTTATTCAAGTCATCAAGAATGTCTCATCAGTGTATACACACCCTTCATGAGCGCTACACGAAAGGCCAGATCTCCATGGCCATGTGTATGAAACAGCAGGGGGTCATACAAAGGAGGCGACCAGTCTTCTGGCCTGAAAGAAAGGCAGCAGTTTTGATCTACATTAATCATAGAAGGTCTTCTAGCAGCAATATGCCGTATTAAAATAGAGCAGGGCATCTTGGGTCTTCAAATACATTAATAAACAAAGATGTCACCTTTCATATGCACAGGCCACAGGGTAATAAATTGGTGTTGCTTTTGACAATGTGGGAGAAATGATCTCGGCCTCAAATATAATCTCATTAGTTGTCACCTATGAAGGGAAAGAGATTGAAGAATAGATTACTGAATAAATTACTTTAATACTTTTCTATACTCTGTTGCCATTTGAACGCATTTAACTATATGCACAACCTTTTGTCATCTAGACCACTGCTGAATCCAACAAGAACAAGCATTGTTACTTTTCTCAGCAGATAAACCAATCTCAGTAACTTCTAGTCGTGTCTCTTTTTCCATGTACAAATGTCTCCAACAATGCAAAGTTTTAAGTGTTGAATATGGCCCAAAGAATTCCCTTTTAAGAACTGTTAAGTACTCCTTTGCTCCTCATAGGAAAGAGCTATTAACTAATAGCTCAGTGGCTCATACTTCCAAACACAAGTAAATCAGAGGGCAAATCTGTTACCCTTTACTAATGAAGAATAACGGAAATTCTTCACTAAACTCACCAGCCTCCTAATATTACAAGCCCAAAATTCAGCATAGAACACTGCCTCTGAGCCTTGAGATTTTACTGAAACCTGGGTTGGAGGACAGTTACCCAGGCGGAGCAGGGATGGATCCACTTGAGGGTCTGCATCAACCCATCGCACAGAGACAGAGTTTTTGCCGCAGGCCACAGTGATTGCTGATGGGAGGTGAGTTTGAAGAGAGACTTAGAATCACAGTGTGTACAAAACTCAGCAATAGTGTGCAATGTGGTGTTAAAATGCTCCATCTGGTACAAGCCTCATATTATATTACCTGCTTGTGCCACTAAGAAAACAGCCAGAATTAAAAAACAAGCATCAAAAAGGAAGGCATTCTGACAGCACACTGTTGCCTACTTCAAGGACATACTTATGCACTTTGATTGATAGCTAACCTAATTAAAGTATTCACATCTGAAATGCATTGAGCGTAATGAACATCAGCTGCTAATGATCCGACTCTGATCATACAAAATGTGACAAATATTTCTAATATAGTGTTCAAGAAATTAGTGTCATGTAAAACATTTTCGTGTGAACTTTTTGGATACATATTTAGTTGTATACTGCTAGGTTGTGAACCTATTTGAATGCTAGGTGGAGTATTTTTTGCAACATGCATTTTTAAAATTAGAATTCATTTGCTTTTTGACAGTTCTGGCAAAATTTGCCAAATCATAAGTGGCAACTCTTAAACACTATTGCTTTTTGAAGTAATCACTCCCAGTCAGCATTATAGCAGGTTGCAAAAACGTAGTTTTACAAGCTCAGGCTCTGAATATCTGCAAAATGTGCTTTCTGTACATTTTAATTTAAATTTTAATTTGACCCGAGCAAGCATACAATTACAACACTTCCGTTTTTTTTTTTTACAAAACCGAATTCGCCAGATTTCCAAGTTTCTCAAGGCATTTTAACGTACTCTTAAGGTTTCCTACAATGCATGCTATAACCTGCTCCTTTAGTTGGGAGAAATCAATTTAATTATATAACAGTTGAAATGGAGGTAAATTTATGAGCCATCCTTACAGACAAATGTGTGATGTGACCGATCCCAGTAAGAAAGTTTCAAATAATAGGATGTTTCACAGTCTTTTAATCAACATGATGCATAAAAGTTGGAGCAGTGAAAAAATCTGATGACTTCTTGGGCCACTCCTACTCAATCACTCAGATCAGGAATCCAGCACCTGAAAAAAATGGGGGAAAAGTTATTCCACTGTACACAATGGTAATTACCAAAATATCATGTACAGAGTACACTCCACTGACCTGTCAGTTATCCATTGCATCAATATAGACAGCCACTCAGCCTACCAAGGAGGAAAAACAAACCACTGTAATATGCATAACATAATACTATAAAACAAAATTAAATAATTCTAAGAACATAATTACAAAAGATTAAGGATGGCATGGAGTAACATCACAGTGAATCTTCTGTAAATGTCAAAGGTCCCAGCACAGACTTTAGTACCAGTCCTTGAGGTGCTGTAATCCAGACACATTGCATGTTAACTTAAAACCATGTTCCAGTGTTTGCCATATTTAACATTAGTTATTTGGCATTATGCTTTTGATTTACCGGAATCGGTGTCCCTCTTTCCACGGCCTTGACATGTTGATTCACAGCACTGACAAAGAGAACTCTGGAATGGGTCGTCTAAAAGCTCCCACCTGTTAATGAAGCAGCATTATTAGATATTTTCCAATAAATCAAATCAACTTAGATTTAATAATAGAGTTTAAGTACAAATCAAATTTACACTTACTCTCCTGTGGCTTTATTATAATTGCAGGCCTTCTTTTCTTCATTGAGGAGGTCAGGGTCCCACGCAATTAATTTGCAATGGATGTAGACCTGCAGGAAAAGAATAGGCAGGAACAAGTTCAGACGTTTAATAACTTAACGTTTAAACGTTTAATAGCCGTATTCCAATGAAGGGAGTCCCTTACCTCTTGTCCCACAGCGAATCTGAAAGTTTGAAGGCGAAGCAGGATCGAGGAGGAGTGATACCTTGGTAAAAACTTGGAGAAGCTTTTCTTACTATCCACAAGACACCTACAATGGGTTCACATTAAGTCAATTATAGAAATATGGCCACTAAATTGCAGAAAATAATGTGCTGACTAATGGATATTTCAATTAATAACAAATGTACACACCCTTTATTGGTAATGAGTGGGTATGTAAGAGTATCTGGGTACACTTCGAGTGTTGTGGAGGCTACACATTCCTCCAGAAGCAGCAGCAGAGGCTGATGGGCTTGCTGGTTAACACCAGCCCAGATAGGAACAAAAGATCCCAGTGGAAAGACATTGGATTCTGCAGGGCCACTGAAATCATCTGGAGGGATTATGATATGCAAGTTATTGTTATAACAAGACCAATAGAATCAGTAGATCAAGCTTTGCCTACTTACAATTGAGAATTGCCATGTGAAAGGCCAGTTCTCCATGACCTTGGATAACACCAGTAGAAGAGCTCTGGAAGGTAGGAGTCCAACCCTTTGGCCTGATAACAGAATTGAAATTATTGTACATCAATGGCAATGTTTTGGGATCGAGAGTCCTGGTGAAGACCTGTAGTACCTAGTTGTAGTTACCTGTCATACACACATCTAACTGGATAGCTGAAAGAAGGAGGGGAGGGCTTTGGCAACGGCCTGTAGGTTAGCTTGTTCTCATACACCAAGTATTTCCATGTTGCCTAATTGGAATGGAGAAAAAAAAAATTCACCATATTTTCAGGATTCAGCGATTAGTGAAATCAAACTTACCATTCGTCTGAAATCACAAGCACTAAGTGGATAGTAAAAGTCTGCTTCTGCTCCATTTGACGCATTTGAGAATTGTGAAGGAAAGCAGCTACCCAAGAAAAGACGAGCAGGATTTCCAGTCATTGTTTTGTCCACTTTCCACTTAACATGAACAGAACGCTCTTCACATGTAATTTGGATATCTATAGAAAAAGGGAGAGAGGGATTACTCATTGCATGCCTGAAAGTTGAAGAAAATTGAAGAACTCTACAAAAATCAAACTTAAGTTGGTATCTGTGTTTAGAACCTGATTTCAAAGCAGATAATTAGCAATAAACTAGGTTTCTACTTGTCTTTAAAACATGGTGGTCAATCAACCAGCTAATGATCAACTACTGTGTTCCAAAACACAACTACCAGCTAAAGTTGGATTCTTCTAGATGTTGGTTAACTTATAATGCATCATATTTTTTCTTGTGCCATAATAAAAATTACCACCATTACTATCTTCAGACACATCAAATGCCGTGGCAATTGCAAAAACAAAAAAACCTAGCAGATACTTCATGATCAGGTAGTACAGAGCTAGTGAGACGCAAACCAAATGCTCTCTGTAAGCAGCTGAATTGTGCTACCTGGTCTAATCAGTAATTTATAACAGCTGGCACCTGACTGGGGAGGAAATTAAAAGTGAGCAGTATTTACTCCACCAATTGCTTCGAAAAATGCTTCGATGTTTCGAAGCACTTGAAACAGTACATGCTGGCGACACCTGCTGGTGAAAACGTTGTAAAAGCATCAAGAATTTAGACCAAACGTACAAAACAAATGGAAATGTTTTTTTTAGAAATACCATTTTTTAAAATAAATAATAAACACATAAATACTATTAAATATTAGTGCTTGTGTTATGTGTTTTATTTAAGTACAATCAAACCCTTAACACACAATTAAATAAATTAATTATCGAATGAATTCATTGATTTATGTAATTTTTTAATTAATTAAGTGTTTTCACATCTGGCCCTGAATTCTTTTTTTTTTTTATAGTACAATTTCGTGGGTTTTCATGTCACATGATTAACTGGGCAACCAGAAGTGGTTCATGGGTTCACTTTGAGATCAACACCCCCTAGTGGTGAACCATCGAAGTTTCGAAACGTTTCCGGATATGGAGAATGAATTGTGTGGCGCGGAAAGTGGAGGTAATGTATTTTTTTTATTTTTCATTTGGATCGGTGCTCTGTTCTTGAGGATCTTCTTACGATCTTGTATTGCCTTATTGTATGTGTGTTTTGCAATAAAAATAAAAAAAAGTGGAAGTAATGGAGATGAATGGAATGTAGTGGTAAATACCCAGCAAGCAAGTTTGCGTTTAAAAGACGTCTATTAGACGTCTAAATATAGCCTAGACGTCTAGGCTAAAACGAGGCTAAATTTGGGCTGTCAGTGAAAATCTAATAGACGTCTAATCATAGCCCAAGAATAGACTATAGTCATAAATTAGACGGCTATTAAACGACTACATATATACATCTAATAGACAACAAAATCCAATACAATACATTGTGTCGTTTATGGCAGAAGTTGTCAACTGTTCTGCTCAAACTGATAGCCGGACAGAAAGAATCAAGATAATAATCAAAGCAGCTGAAAAGTATTTGGAGATAAAGGGTAGGCTATTTCTGTAGACATAATAAATAAAAAACTAAAAGTATATGTAACAAGCTCGCAATCAGGATGTGGTGGCTCTTAATGGTATTTATAATTTTACAGTGGAATGCCAGAAGTCTTATTGCAAATGGTCAAGAATTTAAGGAATAGATATCCAAGAAAGAAAGCAGCCCAGATATAATATGTATACAAGAAACTTGGCTTAAGCCACAGTTGAATTTTTCATTACAAGGATATACAATAATTCGGAAAGATATGGAGGTGGGGTATATATTAGTGGAGACATTTGTTAAGGTTCATAGCAATGCGAATATATCAGAGGATATGAGGAAGTACAGGGAACAGTGTGTGATGGATAATGCTCAGATATTTGTAAAAAAGAATCCAGATGGAGGCACACTAGATATTTGTTATAAGATGATTAAACATTTATCGGATGTGTCATTAAATATGATAGTTTAATAATGCTGTAAAGTCATTAAATAAAATATAAAATAATGCTAATTTAAATGATTCAAACGTTTACTTGCATTTGATAAGAAGCTGCGTGGGCGAAAATTACATGTAAACAATTTTAAGGCTATTTTGGCTATGCTCATCGCTGGTCTGGTTACTGGTATAGGGCTATAGCCAAGCCGTTAAAATTAGACCACAGATTGCCTCGATTTCGCCAGGTGGGCTAAAAGCAGACTACACGTAGCCCGTCCAATTTAGAGCTAAATCGTGGCTATATATAGACCATGTCATAAAATGACACTTATATATTTGTATATATTACTGACACTGCGAACATGATGGGATATCAGTCATCTCATGCGCTGCCTGGCCAAAAACTACAGTGAATCAGGTTTGACTATAAGTGGGCTACAGATAGCCGCTCGGACTACGAGCTAAATCGTGGCTACGCACAGGCTAAGTATTGAACATGTCAAAGAAATGAAACCAAACACCTTGTAAACGCTGTTACTTTGCTCCTGATGCATGGAAGCACGGGGTTGTGGTGCCGATCGCCAAACCAGGAAAAGATCAATCTCAGACAATCAATTATAGACCAATATCTCTGACTTCCAATATTTGCAAACTTATGGAACGAATGGTTATGAATAGATTGTCATATGTTATTGAGAGCAAGAACCTGTTTCCTGCATATCAGAGTGGATTTCGGAAAGGGAGGAATACCATGGATTAGGGCTGGAATGTTAAGAAATAAATCGTGATATCAATTTTGGCCATATCGTCCAGACCTTCGATATTGAAATTCGTGGCTACGCACAGGCTACGTATTGAACATGTCAAAGAAATGAAACCAAACACCTTGTAAACGCTGTTACTTTGCTTACATGATGGAATATCATACATCTCACAAGTTATTTTGCCAAAAGACGACATGAAACCAAATTCAAGGTTATTTGGGCTAGAAGTGGGTTACACATAGCCGGACTATATCGGGTCTATACTTAACCGAGACGTTGAAATGACGGCTATTGCTTGCTGGGTAGGAAAAGAAAGAAAATCTTTCTCAATCTGAAACAGACAGACAGTGAGAATGGAAGTCATATGTCAAGGAAAAGAAAAGAAGAGTATAAGGTATTGATGAAGTTTGCTGCTGGATCTTTGAATGCAATTAACCCGTTGAAACTGTCTAAAGCACTGAAGGAAAAGATCGGAATGATGGAAAGTGTTAAGACTTTAAGAGAAGGTAGACTTTTGTTGTTTTGTAATG